GCTGCTCTTTTATAGTCACCCTAAAATTGCTCTAAAGTAGTTTGATTACTCTTACAAACTGGAACTGTGTGCTGGTTTTCAGCATGAATGGCACTAATTTAGCACCCTATTCATCTTCTAGGCATTTTCTGAAGCAGCTCAGAACCTACTGTTTGCTTATTAGCCTTATTTCAACACTCTTAGTCCAGATTCAGCGTCCAGGGCTCTTTTTAAGGAAGACCAGCGTTATTCCATTACATGATGGGACCATTTCAGATCGATAAAATATTCATTTAACGTAAATTGACATAATTGACGAGTAGGTTAAATTTAGTTTAGAATTGTTCTAAGGTTGGACCTTAAAGCGTTTCTACGGTATTAGCAATGAATCCTGTTAGTCACTTTTATTGAGGGTTCGCTATGAAACAGTAATCTTAGGCTGATAAAACGTAAATAAGGCATAGATCTGTGTACTTTCTTACTCACTTCCAAGCTGCTTTCATCACAACACAATCAAGCAATGCCTGTTTTAAACTGTCACTCTTAGACATGCGAACGGAAAGGAAATCTAACAACAATTTGGGCGTACATGTTTATGTTATAAATGCATACTGAAACAATAATGCAATACTAACAGATGTACAGGGGCACGTCGTATTCGTAATGTTGTCTGCGGTTCATTTAATAGTAAACTGTCCGACCATCTTGTGAACTCAGTTATTTCCCGCAGTGCAGCATCGGGATTTCGTTGGTTCAGGCTGACGAGGTGACATCCTAACCGTTCACAAGCATTCCGAAACTTGTTTGGTTGCGGTGTTAAGCGGGCGGTACGCGGAATGTTTTCCGTGGTGTTATACTGACGTGTCCACCTCTCGCTATCTCTCAGAATATCTAAGAGTAACATTTAAGGAAAGGTAACATACCACTGTTAAGTTATGAATCCAAGAAAGCCACAACGACATGGGCACATGGCAAAATATATGCACTGTCCTCCTGCAAATCCGTCAGTCACAACAAACTAATATTAAGACCACCTATAATAAATAAGGAGAAGAAATTATTACTTCTTGTACTGTTACTTACCCCCCGCACGGATCCAAAAAGCTCGGGCTGCTTTCGCTAACTTACACCGTCTCTGGCGTAGGCGTGACATCCAGCTATCAACCAAGGGACGTGTACTGCTCAGTAGTTCGCTCCGTCCTTCTCTATGGCTCTGAAACATGGCCAATACGAGTTGAAGACATGAAAAGGTTGTCTGTTTTTGACCACAGATGTTTACGATCTCTTTCTCACGTTAGGTGGTATAATAAGGTAAGTAACGTTGACGTTAGGCGTAGTGTTGGGCAAAGAGGGAAAATCAATCGAAGAGGCTATAAAGTTACATAGATTGAGGTGGCTAGGTCACGTGCTGCGCATGCCTAACCGTCGCCTCCCTCGACGGGCATTACTAGCTGATATAGGTGCAGGTTGGAAAAGAGTAAGTGGTGGTCAAACAAAAACATGGCATCAATCCATGAAATCCTTGACAGTTAAACTGAGTCAGGTAGGGAGATGCAGACTTCCGGGTTAGGGCCCTCGGAACTCTAAGAATCAATGGCTGGAGACAGTAGGTGACATGGCTCAAAATCGTTGTCAATGGCTTACGCAGATGTATTCAGTCTCTGTAATCTTTCATATTCCTTCCTACGATTACTCATTCTGTTTCACTCTTATACTTGTCAAAACTCTATTGATTCTCTTCACTCATTTTCTTGTCTACCTTTGTGTGCTATTTGGAAGGTGGCAACTCGAACTGCTGCACTTCAGTACCAAGTGTTATGTTGAATCCAGCCAGCCAGCCACTTACCCCCCATCAATTCCAACTACTGGAAACTTATGATGATAGAGGTCGATCATATCATTATAAGCGAAAATGATTTTTGAGGCAAAACACCTAGTTGATACTCTGGATTTTCTGCTTAACATTTCAAGGATTTAGAGTGAGAGATTTAGTTTATTAAGTGAATGCCAAGTGATGGGAAAGTGGGTCATGTGGCTGGCAGATAATTCCTTATCAATCACAGTCATGTTAAAAACTTGCGAATATTCGTTGTACACTTTTGAGTTCATAGCAAGAATTTTCGGACATGGGGATAAATAAGTTTGGTAGTTTTTGAGTTTAGTATACCGATAGGTACAGTAATAATGTCGTTTCCTTGAGAGTTTATTGACACTATTTGAAACGTAAAAGTTCTTTTTATTAAACAACTAGAATTCAGAATATTCTGTAATTTGAGTTAGTTCGATTGGACGGTTATAAAATAATGTATCTGTCTTTTCGGTTCCCGTTCAACCGACAGGAATTTTGGTAATAAGTAACACGCTGTTCGCATTACAATGGTTCAGTCTACTTCAAAAGATTACAATGCAAGGCTATAACAATAAATATCAGTATGATAAGAAAAGCTAACTTCAGGACCAATGTGGTTTGACTTTAAATGCTCAGGATTGTAAACCAAATGTCTCATTAGTTCCTCTATTATTGACTTGCCTGTCAAATCTGGAATATGAACTGTAATAATATCGGTCTTAAGGATGACTTTTGGCAACAAAAGTCGTTCTACAGGGGTTGTCATAGACAGAGTCCTTACTAGCAGGTGAATCTCCTGCTTTTCATGCTTTAGACCTACTGCTGAAACATATGACATAAATTCACTTTAAAGTGGATAGTGTGTCATGTATTATCATGTCCAAGTATTTGAGATCAAAAATCGAGCGGCTCCTTATTCAAAAGGACTTTCCAACTACTAGTATATGGATGTGATAAACACGCGTGCTTGAGAAGCTCACTCAGTTGATACTAAAATTCACCCTTGATCGAATCGGAGATACAATCTGGTATGAAGCAGAAATAATGGAGAGATGATGCTTTTATTGTCAGGTCACTACTTACTCCAACACAACATGTAGGCTAAGGCACATTGACTACTACTAATGGGTATCCAGTTGACTAATGTGACTTCTATTCGTGCGCTTAGTGAAACATCAGCTAAGCTAGACGCTAATGCTATAGAATTTCCAGATAGGTGCACACGGCACATACTGTTGAACCTGCAGATAGAGAAGTTATTCGAAGCATCTCATTGGAATGTGAAATACGGTGACAGTGAGGCTTTCCAAAATTTCTGCTAGACATGTCTGCTATCCGATTCGCAACAGTATATGAACGCTGTATGTTGCAACCTTGGGCTCAACACGTGGTTTCAGAATATCTGTACCAAATATCTCAATGAAACCCAGCTCTGTGAACCTAACCGACCAGCAACTCGAAATAATAAGGATACCGATTTTTAACAAGTAAAAATAATTCAGTAAACAATGGTTTATACATGGGAATAAAAAATTTTGTGATAGTTGATTAAGTGAATGAATATACGACTGGTAAAGTAATTCTCGAAAGCCTACAGGCAAGCTGAGTTTTCAATCAATTTCTTGTTTAGTGCTTCAGATACTAACCGAGCTCTCAAACCGAAGTAGGTGGTTTTGTTAAGGGGTCATTCCCCGAACTTTTGATGACGTCTGACTCTCAAAGCTGTGGAGCGACTTCATTAGGTGCATTCCTATGGTTACTGGTGATCGGAACAAGTGATTTTCTTGGGTCGTAGAACTCACTTGCATCACGTGCTTGGAATCACCCTCTACCACCACCACCACCACTTCGATTATGACCGCCAAAATTTTTCACCCAACTTATTTCCAAAGAGGACTACTAACTGTACCTTCAATATATTTAGCGTAAAGAGCATCTTAAGCTAATAATAATTTATTGTTTCTTCAAGTGATGGGTTTGAAGAGGCAAACACCAGATCAATAATAATGGAGTAAGTCTTACTTTTGAAATCATCCGAACATGACTAGACAGTCGCTGATACAGTTATTGTTTGACAACCTTTCTTCACCGTATATATATCATTAGCATTGGTGACGACATAGTTTTTATGCACATTTTGATCACGACAAGATCATCATGAGAAATTGAGACACATCGTGTGTGTAATAAACAAAATTTAGTAGGCGTAATGCATGAAGACTATCTCTTTTGACTCGCCATACATGTTACCGTTTGTCGTTTGAGATCTTTTTGTCACTGAATTATTGCTCAGTTTCTCAGTCAGCTTTCGTTAACACAGGCATCCCTAAATTAGGGTTTTAATCACACCACCATTTTATAAATTTCTACTTCATGAAAATAAACAGTAAAAGGGAAGCTAAAGTGATTCTAACAGAAGCCGGATAAAGTTGGAAATGTCTTTACAGATGTTCACAACTCACATGTATTGTTCAACTTCGGATTTAACTTTATGTAACTTGAAGTATAGAAATGACGCGTAGGATTAGTTTCATTTCGTTTATCCAATGAAACGGTCTGCACATATTCACATTCACGCACATGGTTTTCAGTGTTTCGGAAATCAACTGGACTTAGGAATGTTGGGTGCACGATATCGTCAGTGAATTAAAACTATTATAATCTTACACTGAAGTAGTAACTGTTTTTACGCTCACTGTTATCCAGCTAAACTTCCTTGAATCATAGAACCTCGATGAATCTAAGCCAATATAGGTTTTTGGGTCCTTGTGATACGCGGGTCTGAACATCACATAAAAGTTATCAGTTATCACTTGGAATGTCTTGCTGGGTTATTTTAAAGTAGCATGAACCGTTTAGATCAGCTCCAGTCAGGTTATGTTTGTTAAACTACAAGTACAGAATGCCTCCTTATTGGTGTGTTGCACTTCAAAACAGCACAGACGGAGGGCTTCAGATGACTTCGACGTTATATAAATATCTATCCTGTTGTAAAGTATAATATACTCCAGTGCATGAAAGTGTATGACAGGTAGGTTGGTTGCATTATTATTTCAACTAATAATCATGAGCTACTTGCATATTTTTGAGATTTGTTCTTATTGGATGTACTTGTTTTTGATTTCGTTCTTTTTAGTTGCCCCTGAGTTTTCTACGTACACTATTGGTGTTAATGAGTACTAGTGGGAAACATCTGTTTTATAGAGACAGAAAAGAATGGAATGACATTACTCCTGTTCCTCAAGATGATAATGGTCGGCACATTGTAAATATAGCATATTCAGAAGAATTTGTTGACGCACATGATTATTTCCGTGCAGTTTTGTTAAAAAATGAACTTAGTGAGAGAACATTTTCTTTAACATCAGAGATTTTATTAATGAATCCTGCCAACTACACGGCTTGGGAATATAGAAGAAGAATCATCAAAGAAATTTCGTCAGATCTTAATGCTGAATTGCGTTTTGTGGGTGGCCTTATTGAAGAATATTCGAAAAACTATCAAGTGAGTGATTATATATATATATATATATATATACCACAAGAGTGCTAAATAATGCCGCAGAACTAGGTGGGACAGCTTATTTAAGAAGAAAAATATTTCGGAGGTAGTAGCATTAGTCACGAGAGTTTTGTGTACCGTGGATGACAGAGTGACAAATTCTGTTTAGATTGCACAGTTTATGTTGACACTTCTTAACTGTGCAACTGTATTATCACTATAATCAACGCTGGATGAAGTCAGGTAATGACATGAGAAATGTTTCTGCATCTAACTGCAAATACTTGGCCTTACGCACTAACTTTGTTCAGGTGTATTGCTATGAAGTCGACTTTGCATTAGCAAACCAGGGAGTTCAGTTTTCGTGTCACTATAATTTGAGAATAGCAATGCCTGCAGAATACTTAGGGTCACAATATCATATTAGGTTCTCGTGTTGTAGTTTCCGTACAGTATTTTATATTAATATATGCAGCAGTGTGAAATTGGTCTTCACTAGCTAAATTATAGTTAGTATTCTTATGGCAATGTTTTCATTTTGCAAAACAGTCTTAACAGTCTGCTTGTCTACAAGCAAAAAAAGTCAATATGGAAGTTTAAACGTTACTGCATTAGTTAAGGTAGCTACACAATAAAAAGAGGGTGAGCAAGTGAATACCAGTGTTGAACCAAAAAAGAAAAAGTTGCTGGGTTTCATATCAATCTTTAAAATATCGAAGATATATAAAAAAGAATAGATAAGTGTGCTTTAGTGCAGTTGATTTAGGCACACCTTATGAAGTCATTGATTTTTAATATTTTGTCTACATTTCAGCACAGTTAAAAGTATGCATAAGAAATTCTACAAATTGGTCGGATTAGCTTTTGTTCTTTCAATTTGATTTTGCTCTAATTAACATTATTCTTTGAAATATCACATTTATTTAGGCATTACTCAACACATCAGTTATTCTAGTCGTTTTATGCGAAACTGTAATCCTCGTCTCAGTTATGTATGTATGTCTAGAGATCTAACAAGGGATCTGCTCAGTTTTTAGGATTTGTATTTGTCGAATTTCATTTAAGTTTCCTAAAATAATAATAATAATAATAATAGTTGAGCCTAAAATTTTGGAATTTTCATTGATCACTCTACTGCCGTCGTAGTTCTCACAGGATGATGAATATCTTTTATTGAACATTAAAGGCAGTCAAAAAGAATCCTGTGTGACTGCTAAGCATTAATCAATACTCCGTTTAATTTGATCGTTCAACTTTACACTTTACCTTTATATATTTATAAGGTGTATCTGTTAGTAGATGCGCCCACTTTTAAATTCGTTCTCATCAACCTCCACTTATTAAGATTGACATTGTTCGAAGGTTAACATTCTAGATTTTGATCTACTTTTAATTTCAGGGTGTATTTATATAAGAGATACGTAAAAATTCTTCTCGTGTTGACCCAGTTTCCATTAGATTATCTGGTTCAGTGAAAAAATGCATATATTCTCGTATTACACTTGTCGGGTGACAGTTGTAACCAGGTTTAATTTTGTGCTGAAAGCAATACTATCTCATTGGACACTAGTAACTAGTGTGACGTGTCTAGTCCTTTCTTTGGTGCAGATTGAATTCTATCAGTCAGGTTTGCAATGTGGCCACCATTCTAGGTAGCTCGCCATCACGGTGCACATTGTTTTGATGATATTATATAGGCAATCGGCCACAGGAAGCCTTGGACCTAGGTTTCGTGCTTGTCGGCACTCGTCAGCAAGGCGTATCTGCAGCCCTTCAAGGTTGCAGGTTGTAGAAATTAAGATATTCTGACTGATCTAATACATGATGAATGCTTTGTAGAAATAATTTTGTTGATTTCTTTTTTTTTGTAGTTATGGCATCATCGCCAGTGGATTGTAGAAGAATTATCAAAACAGACTGCTAACGGATCATGTAACACACATCTAACACATCTCAGTTCTGAGGAACTTAGTTTCACTGATGATGTTATCTCGGATGATCCAAAGAATTATCATGCATGGCAGCATCGTCGATGGATTGTGACATTTTTTAAAATATCTGTTGAAGACGAACTGGCATTCACTGAACGAATGCTTTTAATCGATGTACATAATAATTCAGCGTGGAATCATCGTTTCTACATAATCACGCTTGATGAAGGTTTGTCACCAGCTGTTCTTACACGTGTAAGTCATTTAACTTTAGGTATTCAAGCTAATTGAGCATGATTTCCAGTGTATAAATTAAAATATAACTAACATGTATTACTGTTTTCTTTTTTCACGTTTTTTCAATTTTTAGGAAATCGATTTTGTGCAGAAGCGAATCACTTTTGCACCGAATAATGAGAGTTCATGGAATTATTTCTACGGTTTACTAGTACCTCTTGTGCATAACAGAAAGTATATTTCCTCGGAGACATCTAAACCATCAGATGAAAAATCTTCCAGTAATGTGACTGATTTAATGCCTAAACTTCAGCTTATGCTAAAGTTTGTTGAAGATTTAATGGCAGTTGATCGTACTGTTGTTGACTGTTTAGCTCCACTCAGCTTCTTAGTTGAAGTGTATACTGATTACTTGGAATTACATTTTATGAAACAGTCAAATGGCTGTGGCGGCACACCAAGAAAACAAGACAGGTAAGCAGTAATATGTTATATGTTGTTAAGGGAGATATAAGTATGCATTTATTTATAATAATTTAATAGTTCCCAGTGTAACATTAATAGCCATCGCCTCCCCCGACGGGCATTACTAGCTGATATAGGTGCAGGTTGGAAAAGAGTAAGTGGTGGCCAAACAAAAACATGGCATCAATCCATGAAATCCCTGACAGTTAAACTGAGTCAGGTAGGGAGATGCAGACTTCCGGGTTGGGGCCCTCGGGACTCTAAGAATCAATGGTGGTTGGAGACAATAGGTGACATGGCTCAAAATCGTTGTCAATGGCTTACGCAGATGTATTCAGTCTCTGTAATCTTTCATATTCCTTTCTACCATTACTCATTCTGTTTCACTCTTATATTTGTCAAAACTCTATTGATTCTCTTTGCTCATCTACTTGTCTACCTTTGTGTGCTGTTAGGAACGTGGCAACTCGAACTGCTGCACTTCGGTGCCAGACAGAGAGAGACAGAAGTACATAATATTCATTCAGCGAAGAGACTTTCTTCAACAACGAATCTGTTATCAAGCTGTACAATCGTATATATGTATTATAAGAAATTATATCCCATGAGGGAACTGAATCAAAGGTGTGAATACGTGAAATAATAATAATAATAGTAGTATGCAATGCAATTTAAATATTCGTGATTATAGTCATAATTAAATGTCAAGTGGCAAAACAATTAATGTCATATATATAAAATAATTCATAAGATGTATAGAGGTTGGAAAAAGGTGTGTAATTATAGGATTAGTAGACTAATATAAAACGTAACATAACATGATGTGAGATTTGGTAAGATAAAATTCAACAGTGTAAAAAGTGGTTTTTGGATTTAGAGTGACAAGTGAAAACAATTCGGAGTGAGAATAATAATAATAATAATAATAATCGTAGTAATGAGCGAAAGGTACCTAGATTAACTAAATAAACAAAATAAATAAATAAATGTGTATCCATCTACGGCCAAGGCAGAATTAAGGATTGTACATACTTCTTTTGCACACAAAGGTCTGGTTTAAATTCATGGAGGGCCAAGGCATTCACTGTCTTTAGAAGTTTGACAACGAAGAAAATGTGGCAGGTTAGTATGGATTCGATAGATGATCTTAAAATCATGGTCAAAGTTGGTAGAGTGAACGGAGTCGATCCAGTGTTCTAGAATAGAGCCTGGCACATGCTTTCTTTCTTCCTTGTAAAGCCATGCTGGGATATATTCTCTTATCTGTGTGGAAAACGTCCTCTGGCCACGACCAGTATACCTTACTGCACAAGATCAAGTAAATTGAAGATGCACACTGAGGCCGCCAGACGAGAGAGTTTATCTTTTACAGAGAGATGGAGAACAGCTTGCAGCTGGTGAGTGTGATTTGTAATCTCGCTGTTGACGGGTAATTAAATATCAATAAATGCACTCGCATGGTCGATATGTATCATACTAGTTTGTATATAATAATCCCGGCAAGATATCGTAGAAATAATTGCAGCATATTTTATCAGCTGAGAATTTACAATTTTATTGAGTCGTGCTTTTCACTTTCTATCGTTGGATTCCAACAACCGAATGAATCTTCAGTTGCCCAGTTTATGTATACTTCTATCAAACACTGTGTGTGGTGGTTTTGCCTTATAATATTTTAGAACTGTAACCAAATTGTGCATCATACCTTTTTAGAGTGAACTAGGACAAAAAAAGGTTGTGTGTTGCGGTTTAGATCATTGTTAATATGATCTCTTCTATAATTCGGTAGAGAGAATTTACACCTTCATTTGAGTACGCACAGTGGTTTTTGTAGATATTTAAGATTACAGTCCAATAAAAAAGGTGATTCTGAACCTTTGTCGAAGACGTCTAGGTGGAATGTCTAAGCTTAGGACGCAATAGTTTAAAAAGTGAATCAGAAATAATTCACTTTTAATATTAGCTAATATTCCATGCTTAATTTAGTCCGTCGGTGGCACAGTGGTTAGGACTCTCGCCGACCATGCACATGGTCCGGGGTTCGATCCCCTGCCGACGCACACCCGATATCTACGGTCGGCCTGCAAAATTTGGGCTACCGATATGCATGCTGACAATTCCATACTTGTACTGAAAATACGGCGTGGCATCAAGCTGTAATCAAAATAAAATGAAAAATAATTGAATTTTAAATTTTCCCGTCGATTGATTGAACCGAAGTGCTCGGTCTGCTGCTAGTCACCACCGGCCAATTAAATTCTAATTACATGCCCAGAAATCGTCGAAGCATCTGCACAAGAAGCCGACATGTCAATCTGAGACAGAGCACTTCGGTCCGATCAATCGACGGGAAAATCTCAAATAATATGACCCGTTGCACAAGAGGCAGTGTCTCTCGTGGCCCAAGTGGTCTAGTGGATAACGCTTTAGCTTTTGAAACTATGGGCACTGGGTTCGAGTCTCGGAGGTGGGAATATCATCACTCACTGGGGAATGCAAGTACGTCCGGTGACGAGTCCCAAATAGGACGAAATGCTCGTTATCCTGGATTCCACTGCTAGTCACCATCCACCAATTAAATTCTAATATTCCCTGTTAATAACATTCAAATACACTAAAGCTGGCATTTAAATTGTACAACCTGACAATTATTAAAAAGAGTTGATCATTTTGTTGAGTAAATGTGTTCAAAACAGAGTTACTACTTTCAGAGATATCATTCTCAAGCACTGAAATCACATAAATATATATAAGGCCTTACGCAGTTAAACCAAATACTAGAAAGTTAATAGATGGTGTTATCTTAGCTCATTCAGTTTGGCGGACCCAGTTGAAGCCTGCTAGTTCTCCCCTGTTCACTTTTTATGTATAGAAGTTATTACATATATATATTATGTACTTTTTATACCTGAAATAATGTAAAGTAAAAATTCCTCGTTTCATAATATTCCAATTGTTTTTATTTACATATATAGTCCGCATGTTGATGCATCAATAGGTGATTCTCTGAACACGACATACGATCCTAAAACTATTTTTGATCGTGCCATCTCCCTATGTGATCGTTTGGCTAATGAAGTGGACAGAATTCGAGCCACTTATTGGCAGTATCGTGCTCGTCAATTAACGTGTTTCGCCAAGAAAGTCAACTTACCATGTGACATCATCATATCGTAGATGTTATAACTGATTGCATCTGTGAGACTACATATTTCATATTTTCTAATCAAGACTGTATTTCGTCCTTTGAATTTAACAATACAAATATTCCTGCTATGAGATTTTCGCTTTTGTGAGGGGTTTTGTTGTTTTTCTTTGTCTTTAATGTATGACTTTACTGGCTGTATATTGTGAGTTCAAAGATTGTTGCTATTTGGGGGAAGTTAATCCACACCTCTAAGAAAATTGACGCTTTCATTGATATAATGAAACTCACTTCAGTTAGTGAGTTGGCTCAAATACTCTTCAGTTAACTTTGTAATTCATGACCAATTGTGCGAATCTGGTGTCTGTGTTAAGTCGCTTAGATGATCGACATTATCAACAGGGATAAAATTTGACATTAAGCTCAGAATGTCTCAACTTTTTGTAGTGCAAGTTTCTTATTCCTCCGGAACCATAGGGCTGCTGCCCATAAGCTCTAATTTCCTCCTCACACGATCTCCTCCCTCTCGGCAGTCTGATCCGGGACATCACTCAACGGTCTCCTCAGCATGTGTCCGTCTCATTTCCACTTCCTTCTGAAAATTTGTTGCGAAATAGGGTCTTGGAAACTTCACCACCAAAGTTTCATGTTGCTAGTTCTTTCTAGCTATCTGATGGTCAGTATAAATCGAAGGTTGCCGGTAACGCGTGCCAGCGGGATAGTTGCCGACAGTATTAGGGTCATTGCCATTATTAAGAGTTTTCCGCAACATTTCGCTTCTTGGCCATAGGTATTGTGATACCAACGCCGGTCAGGGTTTTCAGGTGGACGTGGTTTGCATTTTGATCTATCACTTGGGTTGCACCGTTGAGGGAAATTCGGTCAATGGTAGGAGGAAATACGGGGACTGTTTGACCTAAGTAGTTGCTTAACCGAGTTGCATAACTCTATCCCTACTCGAAGACTGTGTAGTGATCGAGTGCATTCCCGTGGCTGTTCGTTGTGTTATTTCTAGAATTATGTCAGCAGAAGAAGCTAAGTCGTCTATAATCACACTTTGCAGTGTTATAGACACAATATGTACTGACCGCGGCAATTTAGATAAAAACAACTCTTAAGAGACCAACATCGAACAGACGTTGGCCAATAACTTCGCGCATTCTCATTAGCATGTTCACAGCCAGCAGATTGCTTAACCTGACGTTGCGAAATAGTTCATCAAGACGCTGTCGATCCGTGAGACCGTTTCTCTTAAGGAGGGCTGCGTTGAGCATCCCATAGTCGTTGCATACCTCTCGGATAGACATTTGCAAAGTAACACATTTGCTTAATTTCCGCGGTAGAACGTGGATAACTGCAAGGAACTGTGAACACTGGTCAGTGATCCCACATTCACTGAAATCAGACTCGGCTATCTGAAATTATGATTCTACATTATCTGGCTAAAATGACACGAGCTGAACAGTGTTGCTAGCTGGTCAGATACAAATGAGCCTAGGTGTATAGTCACTCATGGAGAATTTATTTCAGAAATAGTTAATATAATACAAGAACAAATACAAAATGAAACGAACTCACCGGATTTGTCTACGTGTTTTTTATTAAAAGCAAAACAATTCCAACAGTAGGCGTGATCATGGGTAGTAATTTCGCTCAAAGTATTACCAAAAACAAAATAACTTATCACTGTGTGTAAACTATTGAAATATAATTGTAACTTATATGATATTGGGCAGGATATCCGGTAATTTTAAGGTTAGGATTTGGAAAGATTAAACAAAGTTCAGGTTAACCTAGTCTGGGAGATATTGTTAGATTAGGGTTAGTTAAGGAAAGACTGGGAGTAGAACTGGAAGGCTGACTTTACCTTTCACAGCTAGAGCTGTTTCCAAGGCCATCGGTGTGTTTGAACCTCCCCTCTGTCTGAACTTGAAATTCCATTTGGTTACAGGATTTCATCATGAGCTGACATTCGTTAGAGAACCATTGGAAAACCTGGGAGTACTTACTGGACAGCTGTTTCGTCCTAGTTTGGGACAATTCAGCAGTACGCACCCACCGGGGTTCGAACCCAGGACCTTCTGGTTACAAGGTGAGCTCGTAGACCATTGAGCCACTGTGACTCGACCCAATGGCAGGTCCATGAATTCTAACTTCTGCCAATTCACGACATAGCGCCGGGTACGTACTGTGAAGGGTCCCAGACTAGGACGAAACAGCTGTCCAGTACTCCCAGGTTTTCCAATGGTTCTCTAACCAATTTCAGCTGATGATGAAATCCTGTAACCAATCAATCAAATCCCTACAAACCAAGACTTGAATTTCCTCCTTTTTCATGAAATATAGTGTCCTTTATTAACTTGCTGACCAAGCTCCCCAGGGTCATAGTTACGTTTGCTTAAAGTTTAACTTCACTGAAGTGGGAAGAGTTACAAATATGCGTCGCACTAATCTGAAGGATAGCAATGCGCATATTTTTTTAATCACGATGTAAGTATGATTCCAGATCTTTTGATCCGAAACTAGACATAGTTTAAACTTGAGTAATGGGTAATGCTTCTGCCTGTCAATCACCTACCATTCTGTACAGTTTGTCGACATGCGACTAAGTGGAATCTATGCACACTTGTGAGACAACTAACAAATCATCATGCTATGCATTGTTAGATGTTTGACTGTAACGACTAACTAAGCAATGACTCACATATTTCATACTTATATTACATGAGCATATCTATCAGTTGCAACAAATCTTATCTATTCCAGTTAGTCACCACAGTACTGCCTATTTTCTCCACTTATACCACCCTATCCTTTAGAATCTGGTTGTGGATACTGTCTTAGCACCCTTACACATTTTCATTATGACCAGTGTACATTTAATATTCAGTCCATTATAGTCAACCTTACATATTGCAAATATACATATATCTTTCAGCGTATTGCATAGTTCCTTCTAATCTAGCCTTTCTAATTTTAAAACAAGCAATACAGATTAATAAAGCAGGATTTAATGAATTCATCAAACTTCGGTAGAACTCGTCAGCCATCTGAATCTCAATTTCACAATAGAACACGGGGAAAACGATACTATTAGATTCCTCGACGTTTTTCTAGCGAAAATGACTGATGGCAAAATCGAAAGATCTATATTTAAAAAGTCTTCATGGACAGGACAGTACATGCATTTCAAGAGCTTTGTTCCAATCCAGTATATAAAAAAATTAGTCAGAACACTGTTCAAAAGAGCACGGAAAATTTGTTCTGACGGTACAAATTGAGCATAAAATAAAAGCTCTGATGGATATCTTATCTAAGAATGGGTATCCTGAGAAGTTCATTAAAAACTACTCTAAAGAAATCAGCCCCTGCAAAACTATCCAAATAGTTTCGAAGAAGTCTTTCTATATCAGTTTGCCATTCAAAGGAGATGATATACAGGAATTAGCCAAGCGAAGACTGGATAAAGCTATCAAGAGAACTTATCATTCTGCACAACTTGTTTTCCTTAACACCACTAAGCGAGTGCTTCAACAATCTGAGAAAGATCAGTTGCCAATCCTGGACACTTCAAACTGCGTGTGTCAATTTGAGTGTGTTAGTGGAAGCAAATACATAGGTTGTACAGAAAGGCGATTGTCTACTCGCATGATGGAGCATTTGCCAAAATGGTTGAAAACAGGTGAATCCAAAGTGCCAAAAACCTCAATAACAAGACCTCTTGTGGACTATGGACATGATATTGACGCTGTCAAGTCATTCACTATTGTCAGCAGACAAAGAAACAGGAAGATGCTTGCAATTACAGAGGCTTGTACAATTCGAGTTTATAAATCAGGTCTCTGTGTACAAAAGGAGATGGTGGTGACTCTGAATCTACCATGGAAGACGTTTTACTTATTATTCTACCTCTTATTATTATAATTATTATTCTTAATTCATTTAAAACTATCCTTTATCAGTAGCATTATCTTAACTCACTTCTACATAATAATAATTATTATTATAACCATTACTATTGATATTACTCTGCTTGCAATTCTTGTTATGTTTTCTAATGACTGATTGCTTATCTAAGTGATGAAATTGAAGCGTAGTGCAATATATCTTAATTTTGATCTCTCATACTCCCTCTCCCCTTATCTACTTGAACATGACCTGGAAAACATTCTCACCTGTCTTTCTGCATGACTAATTCAATGTAGTTTGTTTACTTATCAGTCTTATATCTCCCAATGTAATTTCAAGAGTATATATATCCGTGTATGTAGAGTATTCAGTTGAATAGGAGTTCTACCGAAATTTGATGAATTCATTAAATCTTGCTTTATTAACCTTTATTGCTTGGTTTAAATTCGTATCGGAAATAAATGTTTTCAATTCTTTCTAATTTTATTAATACTTGACTCTGGATAGCAATTTCTCTTAATTGACTTAAGTGGGCTATATTTGGACTTCGCTAAGGCAGGTAAATGGTGTTTACTATTTGGTTCTAGTAGACGCTAATTCCAAGTGGCCAAAAGTAGTGCCAATTACCCCATCTTCCAGTGGGGTGATAGAAGCACTCACTAAAATCTTCGCATGCTATGCAGCCCAGAGAAAGGGGAAAGAGCTACACCAAAAATAATACAACAGTTCCTTTTTGTATACCCCACGACACCAACAGCAGAACATTTTAATGGGATGAATGTTCCGCACCCACCACCATATAGTATTGCTGTCACCTCCAAATCATCGGGATGGTGCTGTGGGTTATTTCCAGACGGGTGACCCTGTTTATGCTCGAGATTATCGCGCGGGAAGAGCGAAATGTATTGAAGGTCGGCCTACGGTTACACGTGGAACAGTAATTTATGAAGTGGAGACACAAAAGCCAATTGTATGACGGCGTCACTTGACGTCCCCTACTTGATACATCTAAACTACCTCCAGTTGATAAGAAGGTAAACAAACAGAAGTCGACAAACAAGAAGGAGTTTCAACCCAGAAGGCGATCCGGTCGCAAAAGATTCTAGACGGTACGATTTCAAGTTGACTGAAAGAAGAAGAGGTACTAGTTTTATCGTACACGTTTATTTCCTTTTCTCTGATGCGAGGCGTGTTACATAGACCTAATTTTCCTAAAATACTATTTCAGTTTCACGATCTTTCCTGCTTTGCAGGTCAATCATCGTCACCGACCCGGTGGTCTGGGTCAGATTCTAATTAGCACGCTTGCATGGGAACGGTGTAGCAGCCAGGTCCTGCTACTCCTACTAACGCAGATGGCCCCAAAGTCCCAGGTTATCTACTTTAACCGCCTAAGTGGCGACGACATCAAGCGCCTAACCTGGTTTATCGTCCACTTAGGCCAACCGGATCTCACTACGCACCCTTCTCCGCTGTCCTAAAATACTACATTAATCTTTACACTGTTAGTTGTATTTCCCTCTCTCCACTTGTGACCTTAGAATCCTATTGGCTGTTAATGGGAGAGGGCGAGAGCTCTCTATGTCAACGACAGGTCTTCTCTTGTTGTCTTCTTGCATGACAGTTTCGGTGATATCGTACCGTTGTTGTTGCTAATAGTGATTAGAACAACAGGCTAGCGAATCAACTAGGTAAGAAATTCGTTTGCGCTAATTACAAAGTGTATTATCAACGGTCAGATCACAGTTAAAGAGAACTGAAAAGAACCGGATGAAATGGAGATGTGTGTTGTTGAAGTTCAATGTTTCCACTCGGAAAATAAGAGTAAAAAAAAGTATAAAACTGTATATTGTTTTTTTCTTAAAAACATTTGATACGACGATTCATCATAATATACCTGTTTAAGTAAAGAGTAGTCACAGTATCAGGTTTACAGATGGAAAGATCATAGAGTTCATTGAGTTCAATTTCATCACAGCAGAATACTTCATCGTTGGTAGAATTCATCATATGAAGCAAAGAGTCATGCTGTTTAATATCTACACTTGAATTATTATTGTTATTATTATTTGCAACAGACGATGATTTTGAAAAGCCACTGAATACAATTTTGATTAACTCTACTGTGTCATACTCTTCTTCAAATGTTGTCTGTTGAACTATAGGCATATGCGTACATTCACCTCTCTATATAAAATAATAATGAAAAAGGGACGTGTTTAATGGTAATCCAATAATATAATGGGAAAAATGTATGATGCTTATACGCCAAGGATTCTGGGTAGAAGAGTCTTACAGTTAAGTGATTATAATTATCTAACCTCATCATATATACATAGAAAATTAGAGAAATACTCTGCACAACTCAGGTATCGTCCAAACATTCGATTCAGTTTTACTATGCAATAAAATAATATTTTCCTTCCCATTGCAAAATGTAAGAAGCTTCGGATGGGCTAATTGTTCCAGACGTCAGTTCATCGTCTTCGTATTTCTTTTTTTGGATTCCCATTGGAACATAGAGCATATATCCAATCCACCCTCTTCTGTGTAGACCATTTTAGCTGGCTCGAAAATTGCCCATCTGTTTTTATTTATTCCTCACACGATCCGATCCCCTTACATTTCACCCTCCAACGCAAACCCAACTCATCGTTACCCATTCGAGTTCTACTCAAGAGCATGTCTGTTTGATAATGCCGCTCAATAGTCGCGACCTCACTGTATGTTCAACCCATCTCCGTTCGCTCCGGCATTTCGCTGAGCAATGCTTTCTTGATTAGTTCGTTGGCTAATTTCCTTGTTGGTAATGCTTTCTGGCCGGTCATCTGATCTTCAGTAACGAGCGAGCTATTGATTATCTTCTGGGGAAAATTGAAGCACCATTTGGACTACAAGAGCGCACAACACACACTGTTCTGAATTTCTGGTTTCTCTTGTATTATTGTATAACATGATTCAGTTATGCGTAACAGAAAATCATCCGTCAACACCTCATAATTAGCCGACATCAAAACAAGGTCTACACTTTAAAGTTGATTGAAACCATAAAAACACAAAATCTGAATATTCCGACAATAGTGATTGGTTCCAGGATGGATAGTAGAGGGGGAGGGCGTGTGTATTATGTCAGCTGCCCACCGATAACATGGATGAATGTCCTAGTACTATCGCCTGAAGGAAGTTAGAATTCATCGGTTATTCGATTGCCGAATTCGATATGATCAATGAGATGACTTCATAGACTGAAGACTAAAAAGTTTGGAAGGAAAGAAAGGCACCTACTAATTGAAAGAAAAGCTACTTTGTCAAGCTAGAAAAGAAGGGTAGTATAGGCCATTGTGCAGACAAGCGTGAAATCATACTCCTGTCCACAGAGAGAAAAATATTAAGTCATACAATGCTAGAAAGACTGCAGCAGGTGCAAAATTCCGTCTGGAAAAAGACGGGTTATGTAGAAGCTAATCATGGCGGATCGAAATTCAAATCTACGCATCAACCATCAAACGGCAGTCAAATCTCTACCCCACCTTCATCGACTTTGCAACAGAAAACTCAGCGAAGCCTCTGAAGTGAGGGCAAGAGTAACACAAGACTGACCACTAACACTGATGATACCCCTAACTGTAGCTCCAAAGGGGTTAATTGCTGACGAAATTTCAGAACGGATACACAAGGCTCATTTGGCATATGCCAACTTGCGCCATCTCTGGCGTAGACGTGATATCCAGCTGGTTGTCGATCAACGGATTTGTGTACTGCTCAGCAGTTCGCTCTGTCCTCCTCACTGGCTGTGAATGATACATGACCATCGAAAGTGGAAGATACGAAAAGGCTGGTTGTCTTTGATCATAAGTATCTGCCTCCTATCTCCCATATTAAGTGGTATAATAAGGTGAGCAATATTCAGGTTAGGAATCGGTCGAGTGCTAGGTAAAGAGAGGAAATCAGTCGACGAGGTTGTAAAGTTACACTGATTCAGTGAGATGGTTAGGACATGTGTTACGCATGCCTAGGCACCGACTGCCCTCATCGACGGGCAGTGCGTTAGCCATTGACATAGGGTGGATCAGGTTGGAACAGAGCCAGTGGCGGTCAAACGAAGACATGGCTTCATCAGTCAACGAAATCCACAACAATCAGTTTAAGCCAGCCACGTAGAGCAGTGTAGACTGGTGTCTGGTTGGGGTCCTAGGAATGGTATAAGCCATAGGCTGGACACAATAGGTGACATGGCTCAAAGTCGTTCTCATTGGCTGGCGCAGATGCATTCGCTCTTTGTAATTTCTCATATCCAATAAAAATAGAGTGTTCTTTCATATTACTCTTCTTTTTGCTTCACATTCCGTTTATTATCTCTCTCTCTACTCTCTTCTCTTGCTTTGTGTGCTACAAGGAGGGAGTGTCGCAACTCGAACTGCTGCACATCTGTGGAAAGTTCTACGTTGAAACCAATTAGTTAGTCAATTGTAGTGGACTGAATTATGCGTCACATTGTGCGGAGCGAGAAGACAGGAATACCCTGGACCGATAAGAGCACCCGAGAAGATCTGGATTTCGCAGATGATTTACGTTTAATGTCACATAAATTCGAAGAAGTGCAGGCGTAAAACAACAAAGTGGCTGAAGAAGCAGAGGAGACAGGACTCCAGGTGAACATAGAGAAGACGGAGGTGGTAAAGATAACCAACCAACAACGACAAGCAACAATCACTATCAAACGGGAGACATTTGAAAGACGTCACTTCCTACACTTATATGAGCAGCATCATTTCAACTGCAGACAGCACGAATTAGTACGTCGAAACCAGAACCGGAAAGGCAAAACAGACCTTCATCACTCTGAAGTCGGTTCCCGACCGAAAGCTGCTACCTTGACGTGGTGGTCGGGCTTGAACACTGCAATGACCCAACAAGCTATACTGGCTGGAACTTATGTTCCTGCAGGTCCTACCATGCCAGAAAGGTTGCTTGGATAGCAGTTAGACTAAAAGCAGTTACCCAATCCAATCCTATGATTTCAAATACATCACAAAATATCATGCCGGATCGGTCGGGGCCCGGATTAACAACGACCGCGCTTTCTGCTGCCGTGTCACAGGGCAGAAGTGATAAATACGCTACTGAGACACACCAAATAAAAAAACACAAACAAAAACAGGCCGTGTGTGACCGGCCTCAAGCAGTTGTCCCCTGGGCTCTGCGGTCACGCAACCAACTTCCACGGTGTGGGCAGCCGGGAAGTAACAACCGCCCTCACAATCCGAAGTGCACGCGAAACCCCTCTAATCCTCGCTCATCTTTGTCTTCATCTTCATCTCTATTATCTTGCCTTCCTTCTACCAATGCAACTCCTCTACTTGATGGCCCCTCACTTTCTCTTCAATCTGTGTGCACTGACAATGATGGAAGCCAAAAAGCCACCATCGATGGTCTCCTAAAACCACGCCACCAATTTTATATAGGAGCATTTAATGTTAGGACACTTTGCCAAATAGGATAACAAGCATCACTAGCCAAGACCCTAGCATCCCGAGCCATTGATGTATGTTGTGTTTCAGAAACACGCATACAAGACCCAAGTGTGGTTATTCACCTAACCCCACCTGGCCAACAGGTTGAATCTGCAAAATTCACCTTGAGGGTGTCAGGAGATGCGACGGCTAGCTCATAAGGATTAGCTGGTGTTGGGATAGCTCTGAGTACTAGGGCAGAAAAGACATTACTTGACTGGATCCCGGTAGATAGCCGAATGTGTGCTGTCCGTCTGAACGGATCAATGAAAAGGAGAAAGGACTGCACTACTCGCCGATGCCTTTTCGTAATCTCCGCCTACGCCCCCACTGACTGCAGTTCGGATGAAACGAAGGATGAGTTCTACCAAAAGCTGTCTAGTTTGCTGCGAAAGGCTAAACGCTCAGATATAGTCGTTATAGCTGGTGACTTTAATGCTCAAGTAGGGAAATTGTGTCAATCTGAGAAGAATGTCGGTGGCACATATGGAATTCCGTGCCAGCGAACCGACAACGGTGACCGTCTCCTACAGTTCTGTTCAGATAATCATTTGTATCTTGTAAGCACTAACTTCAAACACAAGGAGAGACACTGTTTGACCTGGCGACCACCATCATCAAATCAACGCTGGACACAAATAGACCACATAGCAATAAGCTATCGTTGGCGTGGGTCGGTAGGAGATTGTCGCTCCTTCTGGAACACGTGTGTAGATACCGATCATGCACTGGTCCGCGCTCGTATGTGCTTACGACTGAACGGACGCAGGAAACAGCTGGCGGTAAACCCATCACGTCCCCAGCTCGACCAGGGAACTAAGTCCCTATTTGAGGAAGAACTAGCTAAACACATATCTGAGTTTGACAGCTGCGCTCACTCTGAAGAAGCCTGGAAGAATATTCAGTCAGCCATACATACAGCTGTAAAAGCTGTGAATAAGGTAAATCCAAAGGTGAGTAAAAACCATTGGATTTCGACTGCCTCATCCGAACTGATAGATGCTAGAAGACTTATTCCGGCGAGCTCCGAATTCAATGAGGAGCGAAAGCTGCACAAAAAGAAACTTACGAAAAGTCTCCGCAAGGACCGTGAGCAGTGGTGGTTGTCAAAGGCGAAAGAGATGGAAAAAGCATCGGCGATAGGCAACACCAGACAACTATTCAGGCTTATCAGGGAAACAGGTGGTAAAAAACAAATGATAAGCGAAACAATCTCCGAGAAAAATGGCACCATAATTAGCTCCCAGGATAGACGTCTGGAGCGCTGGAAAGAACACTATGAAGAGCAGTTTAATTGGTCCACAGCCACACTTAACCTGCCGGACATCCAACACCTCCCTGAATGGGATATAGACACAGGTCCTCCGTCCTTAACTGAGGTTACTAAAGCTGCCACTAATCTGAAGCTAGGCAAAGCAGCGGGACCTGATTTATTGACTCCAGAGGTATTTAAGTACGGTGGAGACAGTTTACTGTCTGCGTTAACAGAGGTTCTAGGCAGCGTCTGGGAATCAGAGGAAGTCCCATCGGGTTGGTGTAAGTCACTGATCATCCCGATATACAAGAAGGGGGACAAGTCGTCTTGTGATAATCACAGAGGGATTAGCTTGACTAATATAGTATCTAAAATCCTAGGCTCAATAATACTGCGTAGACTAAGTGGTGCTCGGGAGACACAAACACGAGAAAACCAGGCAGGTTTTAGGCCAGGTAGAGGGTGTATTGATCAAATCTTCACCCTTCGACAGATTCTAGAACATAGGCATTCCTACCGGCGTCCGACAATCATTATATTTCTTGACCTAAAGGCGGCATTCGATTCTGTCGACCGGGAGGTTCTCTGGCGATGCTTGGCTGTAAAGGGAATGCCAAGAAAATACATTGCACTGATTAAGGCACTCTACTCATACTCATGCAGCCAGGTGAGGGCTTATAGCGAGTTGTCATCTGAGGTGGTGACGACTAGTGGCGTCCGTCAAGGATGCCCATTATCCCCATTCCTATTCAATTTCATCATAGACGTACTAATGGATTTAACCCTATCACACTTCACCGACTCAGGGATTGACTTGCTACGAGGGAATAATCTCGTTGACTTAGAATATGCGGACGATATAGTCCTTCTAGGCGAGGACTCTGACAAAATGCAGAGTCTACTGAACACCCTGAGCAACAATCTCCGTATGTTTGGCATGCGATTCGCCCCTGTAAAATGTAAGATGATGCTGCAGGATTGGACCTCATCGACCCCTAGATTAGAAATAGGAAGTGAAGTGGTAGAACACGTTGACCGCTTCACTTACTTGGGAAGTACCATCAGCCCCAACGGGTTGATCTCCGACGAAATTTCAGCACGAATACAGAGGGCTAGGTTCGCATTCGCCAGTTTTCGCCGTCTCTGGCGTAGACGCGATACCCGACTATCGACCAAAGGGCGTGTGTACTGCTCAACAGTCCGCTCCGTCCTCCTTTATGGCTGTGAGACCTGGCCATTGAGAGCAGACGACATGAAAAGATTAGCTGTCTTCGATCATAGGTGTCTGCGTTCTATCTCCCGCGTGAAGTGGTATAATAAGGTGAGCAATATTGAGGTTAGGCGTTGAGTGCTAGGTAAGGCGGGGAAATCAATCGACGAGACTGTGAAATTACTTCGACTGAGATGGTTAGGACATGTGCTACGTATGCCTAGTCATCGCCTTCCTCGACAATGGGCAATGTTAGCTGATATAGGGTCAGGCTGGAAAAGAGCTAGCGGCGGTCAAACCAAAACATGGCACCAATCAATGAAATCCACAACAGTTAGTCTAAGCCACGTAGGAAGGTGTAGACTTCCTGACTGGTTGGGGTCCTCGGGACGGTAAAAACCAATGGTTGGAAACAATTGGTGACATGGCTCAAAATCGTTCTCAGTGGCGCAGATGCATCCACTCCTTGTGACTTATGATTTCCAATTAAACTGTTTTGTTCTCCGTTATTACTATTCCTTTGTCTCACACCTCTGTTTACTGTTTCCATTATGCATTTCTTCTACTTCCTTCTCTTGGTTTGCGTGCTACATAGATTGTGGCGACTTGAACTGCCGCACATATGTGCAAAGTTCTATGTCGAAAACCGACCGACCGACCGACCGAAGTCGGTTCGCAAAATCTTCTGCATTCAGATTTTCAACACACCAGTGTTAAGTCTTTTCTTGGCGCATCATGAAAAGCATTTCCAACAGGATATTGCAGACTTTCATCTACAGCTGCCTTCGCTTCATGAAGAAGAAGATCAGACTGTAGACCAGAAAAAATTACTATCGAGGAGTTCCGGCAACACAACAACCGATTGTCCCAAAAACATACCGAAGGAAGTAAAGACGGTTTGGATGCACAATGAGAAGACCTCTGAGCGACATTGCATACAAAACAGGCCCACGGAGTGGAACCCAAATGGGAAATGATGAGATAGGCGTAGATCCAAGGGTGACATAGAGTCCATAGTAAGCGGAGGAGATAAGAGCTAATGGACAGTCATGGAGCCAGTCAAAGAGAGCTGCAGAACACACACCACATAATGGAAATGTGTTGCTGAAACACTCTATTTTTCAGTGAGAACCAAAGGTAATTGTAATATATTATGATTTATAACAATTCGATTGTAATTTGATGGGATAAGTTGCCTTAAATTTTAAAATCATATAATGTAGTTATTACAGGGAAGCCAGTATGCACTAAGATCGAATTAACTTATATTAATAAAGAGATATACACCCTAATACAGGATGTCTAAATCCTAGTTTTACTCACCTTAGAGATCCTCTTAGTAATCAACTGTTCTTCAGTGAAATGTAGTAAACGCTTGTAAAACACTCTTGAGTTAAATTTGAGTAAAAAGTCTATCAACCGAGGTAATAAGACAAACGGCGATTGCAATACACCTGAGAAAATTCGAAAAAAATAAAATAAAACTTAGAAAACATAACAAATAAAAATAGCTTTTATCAACCAGAAACAAGAATCTTTGTCAATATTCATAAAGAAATCACTAAGATCCAATCAAAAGAGCTTTCATATATCAATCGGTCAAATAGAACATCAGCAAGCCAAGGAAGGAATGATGAATTCATTTATAACCTGCAATGATGACACAAATCTAGGTTGAGTGGAGTGAGTGGGCCAGAGAGAAACAACACATGTTAATAAATTCCACATTATTTAATTCAGTATTGATTTTCCGCTTTGATTGATTGAATTGAAATGTTCGACCTTTGTCGGCAATATCTAGTGAATGACGCTTTGGCATTTGACACAATGAATACTGCGTTGAAGTCTTAGTGGGAACACCATTACTTACCGGGGAACGCAGATACATCCGGATGACGAGTCTCGAGTACGACGAAACGTGCATCTTCCATCCGACAACTAGTCACCATTCAGTACTAAATTACTTCAAATTCTATTTTAATTTGTTTGTTGCATGTATCTCACAGTGGGACACTATTATCTGCTAGATGACGATGTTTTGAACACGATTCATTAATGTATAAAATCATATCGACTGTAACTGTGGTCAACTTCGACAAAATTGGTTGTTATACTTCTTTTTCTTTCTTCCCATTTTGTGTAAGGAGATTAGGATGTTCCAGATATCCAGGTGTTGAATCATTCCCTATTGTACACACTTATTCTCAGTTTTGATGCGATAAACAAAGCTTCCATTGTTAAAATCTCTTCTTCAAACGTCCCTCCTTTTATATGAATGCATTACTGATGATGATGACGTTTTATAATCCCTAGTGTTGATGTTGCCATCTTCTCTGTGCTAACCTGTCATAAATATCATCAAGATACCAGAATATATTCAATAAAAAAAAGCATTTCATAGACGCCGGAGGTGATATTAACGGCACGCTGTCAAGTGATTCACTGCTGCCAGCAGACAAAGAAACGGAAAGATGTTTGCATTTATGGAGGTTTTTGTCGTTGAAGTTAATAAACCCAGTCTCTGTGTACAGAAGGAAATGGTAGTCACTCTGAATCTGCCATAGTAATATCTTTTACGCATTAACTACTTTATTCTACCTCCAATTGCTATTCTTAATTCATTTAGAACTATCCTTTATCGTTACTTTTACTTTAAATCGTTCTGGTTTAACGACGGAAGACAAGGAAGGTCAGGCAATAGATCGTTTATTGAGGAAATCAACAGATATTTATAGATTTTTCTGTACATTATTCTTAGCGTTATTGTTAGCAGAGAAGCAACGTCTTATGATTGGTTGTTTTCTTGCTGAAGGTTATTCTGTACTGCTTGTGACCGTTTCTTAGATAGTTAGGGCCATATATCTGTGAATCGTATTTGCACATGTTAAGTCTGCTGTGACTGGTTGGTGAGTTCCTCTTATACCCCTTCCACCCTCATATATATATATATATATATGTTCAAGAGTTGGTTTGTAAGGATTAAACTTGTTTTTTTTTCGGGTTTGACCAATATATTTCTACCGTCTGTATGTTGATGATTCAGCTGAAGAGCTCTATCGTGAATTTGATGAACGCATTAAATCCTGTTTTATTGCTTGTTTAAAATTGGCTATGGCAAATTAATGTTTCAAGTAACAATGATTATAATAATAGTAATAATCCGAATTATGTAGAGAGGAAGATATGTGACTAATAAATAAAACCACCAATCACAACCACAGCAAAACAAACACGAGAATGTTTTAGATGTCAAGTTTATAATGGAAGAAGTGAAGGCGGAACGAGAGATTAAAATTTACGACTGTAGGACGGACGGCAGTTCAGTTCGGTTGAGTTCGTCGACTTACAATAATAACACATCTGTTGTCAAAAGTAGTGAAGTTCACTGACACACTACTTAGTGTCTCTGAAAGAAAAGTTTTCATTAGTGAATACTGAAATATATACAGAAAATGTAATCGTTACAATTATATATTGAAATTAATCTGAGAACTTATTGATGTTACTTCACTATTAACCGATTGAGCAACTACTAGTTAACCTTACTAACTTTGGTGTGGTTGTGTTCTCTGAGCTGGATGGTTTGGTTGCGAAGCTTTCATTGCTCTACTGAGCAACATCTTCAGCGCATACTTCGATGTGAAGTGAGCTTGTAGAATTCTCTATGAGTTTATTAGTCATCTCTTCTAGTAACCTTACTAACTAAGTTAACTTCAACTTTGGTTCCCAGTGGAAGGCCTTCATAAACCTTCAACACATTGCCATTTTATCCTGTTCTCTTGCTCTCTGACGGCGTTAATAAGCTATCGTATCTTCCTCACACGATCTCCTCCATGCCAATCTTCCACCCACACCCAACACGTTGTTTCCTATCCAAGGTTCCAATAGAGTGTGTGTGGTAGGATGTCACTTAACTGTCTCTTCATTGTATATGCAATCCATCACCATTTTATTTTGTATATTTTTTGGTTCGCTGGCAGAGTTCCTTGTTATTTATCTTTTCTGGCCATCTGATCTTCGCTAAGAGGCACTTACTGACTCTCTCTTTGGTGACACGTGCATGAGGTCTGTGAACGATAAAGAAGAAGCGCTGGCCAACTGACTTTAAGTTAGTGGTGAAAATCCGAATCTTGTTCCTTATGCTTACTGCAATAGATTTCCACGCTGATTTCAGATTAATGAAGGCCTGTCAAGCTTTTCTGAATCTAGCTGGCTTTGACTTGCTCATTCATGCCAGCGCTTGTAGTTGAAACGACGCTGTCTATTTATTTTATCTTTAATAGGCAAAAGTCCCAAATTCCATTATCTTCATTTCTTTTTACCTTTGTGTAACTTTCAACTATTACTCAATGTACAGAAATACGCAGAGCACGACAACTGTGGTATCAAAACACAGAATAACTCTGAAGCTGTAAAATGATGTCTGATCACATCGTCACCCATCATCATCATTTTCATTATCACGAAATGTACAGAATACACACACACACACACAAAATAAACTAACTTACATTTGGATTGTGTATTTGAAGAAACTAGTAAATTCTGTGTGATTTCACAGGCCAATTTTTCCAACTTTATACTGGCCGGTTTAACCAAATTTTTGATTAATGTGATAAATACTTCAGCAATTACAGTTTCTCCTGTAAAAAAATTTAAAAAAAAACACAAAGAAACAGAATGTACATATAATACGGTTACTTCACATAACCGACTGGCAGCTGCTACTTACATTGATGTGGTCGTTAGGCTTGCATATCACAATTACCCAGCGAGCTACACTGGCTGGAACAAATGTTGCTACAAGTTTCTACCACCATGCTAGAAAAGTCATTTGAATAGCGGCTAGACTGCAATCAGTTACCATTATAGTGTGAGTTGTTAGTATTATGTTGGAGGTATGTGGGCGAAGTTGTGCAGCTGGTGAAATAGGTATATAGCAGCAATAATGTGTTTACCTCAGATGACCAGTAAGTAGCCAACTATACTGTCTCTCCTCTCTGGAGAGGTGGTAGATTAGAAAATTTCAATCCGAATTTACCCTGCAGCTGTCAGGAGCTGGAGGTATTATTGTGGTGAGAGCTGTCTGCTAGCCAAAGTTGGTAGACAGCAATTTACGTCAATGTTTATGTCCCCAATATTGGTGGTGAGAAAATGAGAACAAAGGCTTTGCGTAGGCGGATACAGTTAGCATATGGATGATCTGACACAGCCACAAACAGATGCAAGGTTAACTTTCTGTGAGAAACAACCAATCAAAAGACTGTATTTTCTACTAACAATAATCTACAATAATGTATATTAAAATCTATAAATATGTGTTGATTTCCCTTAATAAACGATCTGTTGCCTGGCCCTTGTCTTCTGTTGTTACACTATCACCTTATTACGAAACAACTCCAAATACCACTTCAAACAGACCGTGTGTGACCGGCGTCAAGTAGTTGTCCCCTGGGTTCTATAGTCAAGCAACACTACTGCTCTTTTTTCTACGCACACCAAGGTGTGAGCTGCTGGGAAGTAATAACCGTCTACATACTTCATAAGTGCACAAAGCCTTCTGAGACATCTCAACCGTTTCCTGTATATTTGCTATAAAATAGCTACAATATTAATAGTGTGAAACGAGATGACACGAAAATGTTATTCAACAACTAATTGCAATTTCATGCAATTGGCAATAAGCAACAGCTAGTCCAATGACTATCTACCTGCCCACACCTCAGTGTGTAGAAAGTGGGGTTCGAACCCATGACCCATTTGCTTAATCATCAAATTGAAATCGTATTCACTATTTCATAGTGTATTATTATTATTGTTTCCTTTAATTCCTAGAGGAACATAGGGCTTCAACCGTGCGTCTCCATTGCGTTCGGTTCTCTGCTAGAGTCTTCACCAGGCTCCAGTGTAATGCTCGCTTTATATCTATTAGGTAAAAGTATGCAGTGATATGGTTCAATGACTCATTGCAGTATCCCAATTATGCGTGTGTGTGAATTCGCTGTACAATCTATAAACTACTACTAGTGCAACTTAATGAAATTTAAGTTATTACACTTATTACAACCACATAATCACTCACACCTGACGACCCCTTGAGATATGCTGTGTCAATACTTTTTGTCAGAAGAGACAGAAAGAAGATGAATCAGTGGAAAGATGGAAAATGAAAGGTGAAGATGAGTTTATTCTATAGTACACTAAACAAAGAAGTGAAGAGTTATTGATAAAAGTATTAAACTTGGGAACTGTGGTAGAGTATAACTCCATTATGGATAAGATTTCATTTTGATAAGTCACACAGTGGTGTTATACAGCTATATTAACTAATGACAATGTTTCGAGCACAAATTATTACTGCTCACAATCATATCAAGCTACTCACACAACTTTTTTCCTTCATTTATATACATGAGTGGAATTGATGATTAGATATTTGAATAAAAATCAGTATGAGATAATGTACATTCAGAAATAATAATATGAGTGTTACTGATCAATTACAATCACATGGGAAATAAGACGAGTGTTTTTATATTCATGATAAGTTACTTGTTAGAATGATTTAATGTACGTAAATTGAAATAGAATTTTGAGATTATTTATTATTCTCCTCCGATTTGACTGACTGGTGGTAATAATATCTTCCATATCTCTGGTATTTGCAATGAGTCACTTCCATTGCATGTGTTGGCTGTAGACCCGATGAATCAGGAAGGATCCAGTGATCAATCTCTCTCTCCACCTACCTATATTACTTTTTAGAATTCTGACTTTGTCCCACCCACCCTACTGTTTGGTTGTGTGTTAATGCATGCAGTGCTTTAGCTGAGTGTTTTTCTAAATTACTTATCTTTTCGGCGTCAATCATTCCTACCTTAGCTAAATTCTTATGTTCTGATAATCTCACTACTCTTGATCTACCAGTTTGACCTACATAGTTGACCTCACAGTCATTGCAGGGTATTTTGTAAATTATATTATTTTGTCTAATTGGGTCAACTGGGTCCTTCAACCTACAGAGCTTGTCCCTGAGTGAGTTTGTAGGTTTAAATGCCACCACTCTAATTCCTGCTTTATTTAGAATCCTACGTAGGGTCTCAGATGTCCCATCTTTATATGGTATAACTGTAGATGACCTTTATTCTCTCTTCTTTATATTATTATTACTACTTTCACAATTCTTTTTATTTTTATTTTGGCCTTTTTCAATCTTCCTAATGAATTTTAAAGGATAGTTATTTAAAACCAACGCCTCTTCAATCAGTTTTATTTCATCATTTAGGTCTTTTCTTGTGCTACTGCACGGTTTGTTAAACACTTAACTAAGTCTGCCTTAACAGTTAAAGGATGAGATGAATTAAAGTCTAAATATCTATTACAATGCGTTGGTTTTCTATAAACACTAGTGTGTAGTTTATCTTCTTCTATTCGTTTTACTTTACAATCTAACATAGCTAATTCTCCTTGTTCATTTTCTGATTCAAATGTAAATTTTATTCGCTCCACTAGTGAGTTTATATGTGTCAAGAAGTTAGAGATATGTTCTGTTTTTAACACTGTGAAAGTGTCATCCACATATCTCCACCATATTTTTGGAGCACGACTAAATGTATTCAAAGGAATTCTATACCGGCTGTACATAAATATATCTGCTACGATTGGGAGATACTGGTGATCCCATTGCTACACCTTCAGTTTGTCTATATATTTTGCCTTGGAATTTACAGATAGTAGACGTGAGGCACAACTGAATTCCTAAAATAATTTCATCAATGGGTAGTTTCGTCCTATAAGTGAGTTCAGTGTCTGCAGTTAATTCTTTTTTAACTGCTTCTAAGGCCATATTGATTGGTATATTAGTATAAAGACTAGTTATATCAAAACTAATCATTGTTTCATCATTCTCTAGTTGAATGTCATTTGGTTTATTTTTCATCTTATATGAATTAGTTAGTCTAGATTTTGAACGATTTCTAATAGGGCATAATATTAGAGCTAAGTGTTGAAGGAAAGGGACAGAAGACAACTTTACAACACACTGACAACTTCAGAAGAAGAACAGGTCTCAGGTAAGGAGAATTTCAGAACACTGTACCAGGCAGCCACGTGCTAATCCGAGGAGATACCAACACAGATGAAGCCAATGAAGAACAGCGAAGGGAACGTCATTACCAAGAAGAAGCAAAGGAAACAATAAGTTGATCACTTCAAAAGACCCTTGAAGCGACCACCATCTACAACTCGTCTAGAGACAACACCAACAGCAGGTACAGAAATGCTAGTGGTCACCAAAGCTTCGACAAAAGTAGAAGTTTTGATTGCCAAAGAGTAAGACCAGACGAAATTTCTCCGTCAGTACTGAAAGCTGATCCAGAATCTTCAGCGGATATGCTCACGCCACCATTGCAGAAAGTTTGGAAGTAAGGAAGGAAAGTAACCAAACGACTGGAAGACAGACTCGAGAGAAGGGTGACTTGATTCTGGTACAGAATTATGCTCCCGTCTATGCCAAGCAAAATAAAAATTCTCGTCATTCCACAGAGACCAAAAGATGCTCTGGAACCAGAGAACAGGATGAAATAGAGATGTGTTGTTGAAGCCCTATATTTTACTCAGGACCCAAATGAATAATAAAGTGACATTAATGTATATGCAGCCGTGATTATGAAGCAATCGATTACGGAGATGGTCATTCATACGTATAAAGCCTATGGAAAGCATAATTTCACGTAGATTAACTCGCAAAACAAAAGTATAACATGAGAATTCATATCAACTATCAACAACATAGGGAAAAAATGATGAATAAAATAACTTCCAGACGTTTATATCTCACTTTCATCAGTATTTCCACTCTTCTGTGAGATGAATGCAACCAATCTTTGCATATCCAATAAACGGAGTGAATATAAGGCTGCATAATTCAATTCTTCTTCGTCTTCTTCTTCTCCTCCTCCAGTTAGATTGAGGCTTTCACGAATTCTATGACTAAAACGTGAATTGCACAATTTACACAATAGACTAAACGGATCATCATGGAGATGATCCGGCAAAGACGAGTTTTGTATCACCCCGTTATCATCCTTTCTCTTTTTACCATCAGTGATATGTATTAAGTTGACATAGGAATAAAGTTGTATAGCTGTAAAACTGACTTCAGGATTTCTTCGAGTGATTAGTGAATTTGGAACTGCAGTAGACAGTAAACGTTGATAATCTGAATCTAACAATTTGTGAATATAGTCCACTGATGAAGCAGTAGTAGTAGTATTGGTTGAATGAATAAGTATTGTCAGTAGTGCGTAGAAGTAACGTTTGAATTCAGCTTTGTACATGGATTTCAATTCTGTACGTAAATGGTTATCACTACTATGATTACTAATATTATCATTACAAACACTTTGATGGTAATAAATGCCTAACAATGTTTGGATAGTGAACAGATTTTCAGTTATCTTCAATACTTCTGTATTAGGCTGTGTTCCACATTGAGCCATCGCATTAATGTTTTCCAAATTCACACTACAATCAGTTGGGTCACCAACTTTCGAGCATAAATATAAACAAATTCGACGTAAGGCTGAGGTAAGCAGCTAAACAGATTGAGGGCATTAACAGAGAAGAAGAAAGTAGAGGTAAA